AAACACTGCAAATGATCAGTCATTTGTTTTTGAATGTGATGATGAAGATTTCAAGAAAATATTTCTTTTTCAACTGCTACAATTGAGCAGATAATCTTCTCTTTTGAACAGAGTTCAGTGGAAGTTTCTTGTACCACAGCACTTACTCTAGATAATAAGCTCAGTCATGAGATTTCCATCTTCAGCAGTCTAGGCGCGGTTTTAGTGTTTCTTGTAGTTTTCCTACAGCAGTTGTTCAGAATGTTTATTAGATATTCAGGAATCCTTTCTATTTTAGTGGATAGTTAAYGCTGTAGGTTTTATTCTAAAGAATTTTAAATCATTGCTACTGCTTTTTTTTTTTCATGGTCTTCCCTCAAATACTGTAAGTTCTGCACAATTCTTTATACAAACCTCTTCTAGAAACAACTGATTCTCATAAACCAACATTATGTCTCTGAATATCACTCAGTTATTCTCCACCTACACTGGGACATAATGTGCTGTCCTTTGTCTGATGTAACAATATAACACCATAAGATACCCAGACACTTAAAACAAATATAAATTTATTTTTTTAAATCATTGTAAGAACAATGAAGTTATAAATTTTTAAACTCAAATGACATATTTTTATTAGCTCTTTGAGGAATGCACATAGTCATAAAGATAATATGCGTAGTTTCATTATAGCAACCAAATAGTATTGTCTTTGCTWTACAGAACTATGTATAGTTCTACATGAATTTCACAGCTGAAGTATTTTCCGTATTGTTAAATTATCAAASAGCTGAATACATACATATATGTGATATCTGCTTCAGATAAGATTAGAAAAGAGTCTAAAACTTCTGAATAAACTTAAAGGAAGCAGGAAGAAAAGATTCAAGCTAATAACAAGCATTATCTGAAGTAACTAATTTTCAAGTGAGTTGCAGTTTTCATCTGTTACTGTGTAGAAATGTTGAAAAGCCTGAGTTGGAGGGTGGGAGTTGACAATGGCTACAGAGCACACTTGAAACACAGGAGATCTGTGGTAATTTATGCTGTTCTGCTACACCCAAATGGCTCCCYTCAGAGGCATCTGCATTCAAGCAGGGACTGCTCCCCAATGAACAGATCTGTTCAGCTTGTTCTTCTACAGAAGGAAGCAACACAGTAATATGAGCAAAGGAGATGACAGAAGCTGCAAACCTATAAAGCTATTGTCAGAGATTGAATTCAGTAAAAATGAAGCCCAGGCAATAATGCAACAATAGCTTCTATTCACATCAAGAGCTGCTTATCAGAAAACACCAGTTAGCCATAAATGATTGAGAAGAGTGCTATTATACAGAAATGACATCCCTATCCAGTGTGTCACTTCATCTTGAATATATTAATATCTTTTACCGTGAGACTTTTATTTAATCTCATGGCCTCTACCTGTCTGCTGGAACTACCATTGTCTGTGTGAGAGGATAAATAGCTGGTAAAGGATAATAAAAGAGGAGGCCTATAGGGAGATTGAACACTGAACCACTATGTTCATAGCATATTTGGTTGGAACTAATGGCAACCTAGCTTAATTCAAAACTATTTAGAAATACAACTTCTGTAGTTTTTGTTTTTCYTAACATGTGAAGGAAAGAGGTATTTTTAGAAAACTCAGAGAACTGCAGAATTGTAGGAAAAATGGGCTCAAATTATTTGTGAAACACTGGGACAGGACCTTTGTGGGTGCTGCAGGCTTGGAGCCAATCTGCTGTTTGAGATGGGCCTTGATATACCTGGGTTTGGGGAAGCCCTGACAATTTTACTGCTAACTTCACTGTGGAAGAGACATGCAGTTATCTTTTTATATAACGAGGGTTTACTATCCAGATGCTTTGGAGAACACAGGTACCGTTAATTACTGGGAGATTAATTTGATCCTTGTACTTAACCCTCTGACAAAATGAGATTTTATATCAGCTGAGAGAGACTGGGAGAGAGCTCTCCCCTTTTAATATCGTGCCTTATACAGTTCATCAGCTTTACAGATTAGAAGTCTGACAGTTCTTAATGTCTCCTAGTATATTGCACTGGCTGCTCCACAGCCACAGCCACTGACAGATAGGCTTTAGTTTTTACAGTGCTTTGGAAATAGGTGTTTAAAGTCTGTGCTGCTGCTTCGCCAGCACCACGTGCAGTTCCAGAAGCTCTGCTGCAGCTCCACAGATGAGCATTGCATGGTAACAGGCTGTGCCCTCACAGAGCTCAGCGTTTTGCACTGTGTAATCATGGCATTCTATCTCTATTCTATATTTGATAAAGTGCCATCAGCTCTTCCAAACACTAGCAATGCCACTCAGACATGAGATGATGTCATGCACACCTTGCCCCCAACCCCATGCATGATTTTGCAACATGCTGTAGGCTCTGTATTTAACAAAACCTAAACAACTCTTTATTTTGTGGGAAAGAGAATCATGGTGCAACTTCCTTCTTTCTTCTCCCCATTTCTTACCTATATGGCTTGCTTGTACCAACTTGGATTAATTCAGAATTCCCAAATTTGTATTGCTACCCATAAGCCCTTGAGCAGACCTGGTGCTGCAATGCCCAATACCAAAACAAAGGTGGCTGAAAATTTTCTTTTCAATGTCATTCATCACAAATGTACCATGAAAGACAGATGTGCAGTAAGACAGCTCGTCCACAAAGTTCTCATGTGCATGGCCTTACTGGAATTTCTTTTAATTGACGTTTTGGTAGTGGTATAATTTTTTTCTGCTGATCTTCTGTCAAGGTGTTATAGTACCCTGAATCAGATTCTCAGATGTGACAAGTGTTGTATGGTCCAAAATGGCACACAGTGCACTGATTAATCAAACCCTTCAGCTTTTTATGTTTYTCACTGTTCATCTTGCCAATTAAACACATCTAAGGAGCATGAAGTAATGCTTAGTACAGAATTGCATACCTTCCCATAATATAAATTCTAAATCTCTGTAAACGAGGGGTATATTTCTGGGAAATGTTCTGGGCAATTTAAGTGGCAGGATTTGATTTTGTTTGTTTACTTTAATTCTGAGGAAAAAAAAGAGAGTCAAGTGTCAAACCAACCTTTCAAAATGTTCCTGGAGGTAGATGAAGAAATGCCATCTTGTTTTACTTTGCCTTATCTTGCTTTGCCTTCCTTTAAATTTCCTTTCATTTTTTCCCAGTAACACTGTGCCATTCCAACTGTCACAGCCAGAGCCTTTTAAAACCTCCCATGTCCTATTGTCTGTGCCAGCAAGTCACTCTCAGCCTCTAAAAGTCCTTCCCCTCTGCTGACTTCCMAGAAGCACTCAGAGGGTTCTCCCAGTCTAATGTGTATAACAGCCATCACCCATCCGACCCCGATTTAAGTGAACTGGAAGTCTCCAGGCACTGCCATTGAATTGGTTCCTAAAGGTAAAATCTCTTATAAAGTGAAAAATGCTGTGGAATAGAAGGAGCTGTAAAGAATCTTAAGGTCACTTACTGTCCTTTTAATCCATGCTGTAGTCTAGAACAGCAGCCTGTGACTCTTTAGTCTGCTGAAATATTTCTCTTTAAACCGGTTTTTATTCTTTAATAGCTGAGTGTGATGTAGTTAAAGCATGGCATATAACAGTTTATCTCTGCTCTACCCTTCCAGCATTTTCTAGTGACTTCCATTCTGTTGAACTGCTGAACTGATTAATAAATATTAATTACTGTAGCACACATAAATCTTTGAAAGTCTGTTACTACATTAACAAGATTTCTGYGACTTTAGCAAAATTCAACAAAACACCAAATAGAGATTTTTCTTTCAGTTCTTAAAAAGTTGAGGTGATACAAAACAATAACCTATTCACTATAGGATGCTGAGAAATGTAAATTACTGATTACTACATTTTTCAGATGTTTTTATAATCTCAAGTGGGCATGTAATCTGACATTATAGATCTCAGATGTTTAGTATCCTCCTTTTATTAAACATAAAATAGAATTTTTTTTTACTTTAATTAATTATTCTTTGTTCCATTTCTGAAGAACTTTGTGCTTCTTTGGCTGTAGGAGGATGGTGTGCTTCCCTGCAAGTTCCTGTCAGTTCCTGCCTTTCCTATTTGTTCCGTGATACTTGAAAATAGTAGCAACTTTTTTGTTTACAGCTTTCTTGTTAAGTGTTTTCTGATCCTCCAGTGACCTGTTTTGAGAGTGCTTCTTAAATGAGCCAACTGATATTTGCTTCTTTTTATTCCGAGAAATAACTAGGATTTCAAACAGTGAAAATACTGGCTGAAGTTACATGAGRGAGGACAGTCCAATTTCTGTACACAGAAAATTAAGCTGAGAATGACCAACCTATAAATGAAGAATGTTGGTTCCCATTTTGCAAGCAGAATGTCACCTAAGAATTGCACTACTGTAACTGTATTTAAAATTTATATTTAGAAAAACCATCTTGAGGCCTAAGACAGTAATTTAGCATCTGTTAYACCTTTTCATGTTATCCCATATAATAAAGTGAGAAACTCTGTATCCAGGGATTTGCAGTGAAAACATGGAGCAGAGGACAATGGGGTGATATAACAAAGAGAGAAAGAGAGAAGAAGGTAATAATGAAATGAATTTGATTTGCTAAATGAGGGGCCCCAGCAGTGGATTGATATGGTCAAAGGACAAAGATACATTTTAATAAGTCTTGAGGACTTAGTATATATTTTTGCAAATCTTCTTAGCACTGTTTATGTAAAACACAAAGTTCTTTAAAGTCTCCTTTGCTTCACTTAACCAGAGTTCTTCCTAGAGAATTAAATGACCATAATTGTTTCATAAATATGTGTAGCATGAAAATCACCTTGTTTTGCTTATTTAAATTTTGCTCAATTTTGCTTTGCTCTTTTGGTCTGCTGCRGTTTTCTGTGCAGTGTCTGTACTGCCTTTGTCCCAAAAGACTGATTTCCCATGTTGGTGACATTTCCTAAGACCAGGAGACTTCCATTTTGTCATTTAATCAGTTTTTGTTTTGTGGCTGTAAATTGCAGGTGAATCTGTCTGGAAAGTCTTCTTCTTTACTCCAAATTTCAGTCCAGAGGACTCCAATGGTTGCTTTGATTCTCACGTTTGCTTTTGCCATGGAGGGTTCATCACACGACACGATCCTCCCCTGCTCTTCGATCTGTCCAGAGACCCCGAAGAGAAATTCCCACTGACTCCAGAAACTGAGAGCSGTTTCCATGAAATCCTCAGGGTGGTACAGCAGGCAGTAGACAACCACACCAGGTCCCTGCAAGCTGTTCCTAACCAGCTGTCGTGGAACAACCTTCTCTGGAAACCATGGCTCCAGCTCTGCTGCTCCTCTCTCCTTCAGTCTTGCTCTTGTGACTCTGAGTCAGGAGCGAGTCCACTGGAGGTGCATTCAGGATAAACAAGAATTCCCTTTCAAAAACTGGAGTGGGAGAGTGTGGGTGTCTGACATGAATTTGTGGTGCAAGCCTTCAGAAGGTTTTGTTGTGTTAGACAAGGACCAGCCTTCAAATACATATTGCAATCGAAGAGGATTTCAGTCAAGAAAACATGCCAAGAGAAGGAGGGCAAGACACACCTTTTCTGTCACTATCACACATCATGAAGAACATGTTGCCATCCTGATTTACACGTGGGTAGGCTTCTAGGCTTTTTCTGAGGGAGATAATTTGCCAGACCTTCAGCTTCAGCTTTTTTCTTACACAGCAAAGAATTTACCTGTAGTTTCTGTCAATCACAACAACTAAATGCACACTCTCCTGTCCTTTTCTTTAAGTGTTATCCATTAGTAGAACATAGCTGTGAGTAATTAAAAATAGAGGGATAATAGTGGAGAGCTCCTCCTGCGACAGTCATTTAGTAATTGATAGATAGGTTAAGTGCACTTTTGCCACAAATCTCTATCAACAATCATGAAAGATATGAAAAAATTGACAGATTGCCAACAGTCTTTGAATGTGCCATAAAAATGCACAGAGCTMTGTAGTGGAGGACCTTGTGTCCATATTAAAATGACGCTCCTCAGCATCTGCGCTGTCCTATTGCATGGCAGCAGCCTTTGTTTCAATAGGACACCACTTCAAGTGCACCACTTGTGTGCTTGAGTGAGTATTGTAAGTCTCTGTAGATATATATATTTGTATATATATATATTTATTTATATATGCACAAACTAAGTGTGTACCTCATAAATGCTTCAATCCTTGATATAAGCACACCCTTATGTCCAGAGTCCAATTGATAAAATAAAAGGTTCGGTCCATACTTGATAATTAAATTCAAAATTCACATGATACTACAAATATATCTTTCACAATCTATTTGCCATACCTATGCTTCCATTGATGAATGTAATCACAAATAAATAAAATTTKGTCTTCCTTTAAATACTGTTGCCATCTTTTAAGCTCTCTGAATAGGATCTGTCATTTTCTGAAAATAAACTTGTGCTTGAGTACTTAAAGCCAAATATAACTGTCTCTGAGTTCGTAGCAAGGTCTTGGGAAATCTACTGTCCTCCAGGGCTAATTTTTGTATCTGTTTTTATCTCCATCTTATTCAGGAACATTTTCTTTCCATTCTACAGGCAGACAAACTGTTTTCTTTGGCAYATTGTCGATGAAAAGAAGATATCAGCAAAATACTAAAATGATTTGATGCCTGATAATAGAAGGTGACTTGCTCCTTATCAGGAAGCAGCAGTTAATTCTCACATTACAATGTATTAAAACCAGTTTGGGGCAAAAGAGATCTGTGATGATAGTAATGCAGTAGCTTCAGTCAGGCAATATTAAGGTTGTGACCTGGTTCTTATGAGGTATTGAAGCCTGTCTTGTAAAAWTATATTGTGATATATGGTGTATTTCTCTGTCTGTAAAACCTWGGCTTTATTTGATTTTTGTGTGGCAGTTTCATTCAAAATTTTGTTCTCCACAATATCCAGAAGCTTGCCCTGGGAAATGTACTTTTTCCTTGAAGTCATATTTTTGATATTTCGCATTGTGTTCATGATCTTAAGTGTGTCCTCTGCAAAATCTCTGTAGGTGGCAAAGTCCCGTGACCACTCTTTATCTCTGAATGTACTGCATAAAGAAAGACGCCTCTCATTTGAATACAGATATTCTTCTGTGAGAGTGGCGGCCCTCTGTCATGGCAGGATCCATACATCCCAAATTTTTGGTCCTCACCTTGTGGCCCTAGAACCCCTTGGGACATGGCACTGGTGCCGGTGTGTCTCTCCCTGCAGCCCGAGGGCAGCCCAGGCTGTGGCCAGAGTGACTGTGCACCACGGTGGGGACAGATGCTCTTTCCAGCTCCCACAGCTCTGCCACAGCCTACACAAAAGCTTTTCAAACTAATATTCCTCCTGTAGAATATGGCAAAAAATATGTGGTGTGTTGGATATGCAGTGCCAACCCCGACAAGGGGTTTGGTGTCGTTGGATCTACTTTGTTTCCACAGTTTCTGGGCTGTGACCTTTACAGAGATCTCAATTCATATTCTCAAGGACATCCACATCTACTACATTTCATCAGGAAGATGTTGTGCTGCTATTGTTTCTTTTCCTTTCTTTCTGCAGGTGCAAGAATTCTTTGTTCTGCTAGGCACAACAGTTCTGTACTGCTTGATCGAGGTATCAAAAATGATGWCTTTTCTACTGTTCTGATTTCTTCTTGCCTGAATATGAGTTTTCTTTCACACACTCCTTGGTTTTTGATGCCATCTTTCTAACCTCCTTTTTTAAAATGTCCACACTCCTGAAATACTTTYCTATCTATTCCTTTGCCACTCAGTCCTTCTGTTTGCTCATCATATTGACTGCAACAGCTATTTTTCCCTAATCAATCAGAAAATGCAAAGTGTTCTGTCAAAAAATTTGACTTCTAGGGCTCCTTGACTCAGCTAACCTCCTGCTTATTTAAGGTCTAGCAAGAATTAACTTTTATATTATGAAATATAAGTAATTAAAACATACCCGAGACACCTCGAATAATAAAAACTATTTCTTGTTTGTGGCAAAAGCTTCATCATTCCCGAAATATAATTTAGTACAGCAAAGTACATTTAATACTTTGGCATAAGAAATAAAATCTGAAATAATTTTTATAGCTGTTCCTTCAAGAATGATTCTGTAAGAACAAGGCAGTATTTTTCATACTCTGTATTAATACCATTTAATTTAATGCCTAAAATAAACCTTCCCTGTATTGCAAATGTATTATACCTTGCAGTACTGTACCTTCTATTGTGGAGATGGCATGTCAGATCAGGGTAGTTAAAGCAGTYTTGTTTATCTGCAAAATAAAATGTGAAGAGCAATGTACCTTTTGTGTAATGGCACTGCCTGATCTAACAAGGAAAAGTTTTTGTTTTTCACAACAGGTTATTGATGGCATGTATGTGATTCACAACTTACTAACAAGGAAGGCTCAAGGAGAATGTGCTGCTCTGACGCTTGGGAACTGACTTTCAGTCTATCATTTAATGAGCACTGGAACTGTRGCATGGTGCCTGTTTGTAGGATATGTCAGTCTAAACTGGGAGTTAAGCTTCAGGGGGAAGTGCATTCCTCTACAGGATTATTTAACAGTATCATATCCTAATTTGTGACAGAGTCTCTGTACAGCCTGGAGCAAGTCATTTAACTCTTTTGCTCAGTTCTTCTCCTCAGAGAAGGATAACAGAATTTCTCTAACTGTTGGGAATACTGAAAGAGCAAAAAATGCTGAAAGTGGTAAGCTGGTAAAGGTTCACTTTCTGGTCAATAAGGCACCTTCTTTATTGAAGTTGCAATTTAAAAACTGGAAAAGTAGGATGTAGAAGGTCCCCCTATATGATGGGGTTTGTCACGCCCTTAACCTGAGGTTTGCAGGTGGGTTCTGWGTGTACTGTTTAGGGCATTGTGATCTGAAGGAGAGAAAATAGATGGCTAAAAAAGATACACGCATGGGATTCAGAATAAGTTATAAATCACATTTTTGTAATTATATTTATTCTCTTTTTTGGCAGTCAGGACACTATGTGAATTTTTTCCCTCAGGRACTGCATGTCACAGGTTTTTGACTCTTAAAAATAGAGATGTCCTGACTTGTCTCAAATTATGGTCAAAAGAATTAAAAATTAAAAAACAAAAAGAAAAAGGGAAATAGGAGCTTTGGAGAAAGGTGTCAGTGCACTTAAATCCATCTGAAAGTTTGCAGAGAACTAAGAGAATCTGGTCCTTATACTTCACAGCTCAGTGACAATCATCACTTTACAGCAAGAGTTTATTTCACATTGTCGGAATGTGAGATCTGGGTGTTCAGATATGTGGGAAATGTAAAAAATTTCACTTGATATAGGATCAAATGGAAAAAGAAAAAGARTCCAAGCGTAGCTACAAAAATCATAAGTTCTACTAGAGTATGTATATTAAAAATTGTTTTAATTTATGGTTTTGCCTTACATAAATACCATGTTTTTACTTACATAGGACATATTTCTGTGCTTAAGGCACAGAAYACATCTCTAAATTTTCTTTGTCATTTCCCTTTCTTCTGGCATTGCTTGTGCAGCATCCAAAATACGCTCTGAGGAGCAGGAGGCAGCCACCCTGCCCGAATACCCCACAACCAGCATGGCCAGCCACGTGGGCAGGAGGAAAGGCTTAGGCAAACTCTGCACTGGGAACCATCAGGAGGCAAACAGTGACTGGGGGTTATCATCTCCAACGTGAAGATAGAGAGCTGCAAWTTGACCCTGAGATTAGCTCAGTTGGTTAAATTGGTTGGAGAGCAGCACTAATAACATCGGGCTTCTGGATTCAAACCCCCTATGGGCCATTCCCWTAAGAGTTGGACTTGATAATCCTTCTGCATCCTTTCCAATTCAGAATATTCTGTGATTCTGTGAAATTGCARGTTCCTCTGTCAGGGACTGCTGTAWCCAGGAGGAATGAGGTCCCCTCTACAGCTGGCTGAACTGTGTTCTGCAACAGTGTCCTTCTGTGTCAGGCTGTGTGGTGGAAATTAGTTTGGAACCCACAGGATGCAGGACCCCTCACCTCTGAATTGTAATACCAAGCAGACTGCTCCTGAATCATCAGACATGAGGTGACAGATCTTAGTCTGACACTCTGAGTCTAAGACAGCCACAGTCTCACACTTTTTTCCCTGGAGGGCCAGAAGACCTGAGCCAGGCTCTAGAGACTCCCAGTTCATAGACTGCTAAAACTGAAAATAATTCAGAGTTCTGGAAACACCCTGGCAGATCATATGGCTTTTTCAGAACATTTTGCATTTTTTGGTAGCTTTTATTTACATCAAAACTAGTAAGAATCTACCTAAAGCTTCACCTGTACAGCAAACAAAAGATATTGCAAATTATTCTTAAGACCCCCCTGCCCCAATAGCTTTAACCTGTGAGCTTTGGTAYTGAAAAAAATGAGCTTGTGCCAACAGAAAATACAACAACTGAAGGTTTCTTATATGTATACATATGGAAAGAGGCTGAATTGGAGACTCCCACTGGAGTTTGTGCTATAGTGGTTAGTGAGATAAAGACTGGCTTGATCATCTGCGCATCTCTAATTGCACTGACAAGGTTAGGAAATATTGCAGAACCTGGGATATGTGAATYGCAGGCTTTGCAATGCTTATACAGCATCTCTTGAATGCTGAAAAACATTCCTTTAATATAAATCATGCTAGGTTCCTTATGTAGATTAATGTTAGACTTATGGGTAAAAGAATGGCATTGCAGGTACTTTCTTTGGAAAATAAAGATATATTTGAAGATAACAGATTCAGCATGTGGGGGTCAGCTCAGTTAGGAAAAAAGCCTTCCAACATGATTTATTCTACCGTTATCCAATRATAAAGCCTTTTTATGCAGGTAATATTTTATTAAACCTGATTTATGTGAAAAATACTGTGAAATAGTTTAAATTATAAGGCAGAGCTCTTCATTGTGATGMTTATTTTAAAGAGAATTTGATATGAAGTTGCTTTGGGTAAGAATATTTATTACAAAAGATTTGATACATAGCTTCTCAAAAGCCTTATGGACTCAAGTTGGGCTGCAGAAGAATAGCTTTGGTTTAATATGGTCTTCACTGCTCACAAATGAAAAACAAAGTTATGAAGAAAAAATCTTCAAACTTTAAGAACAGTTTACCTGTTCTGTTACTGATAAAAAGAATGCCTGAAGTTTGTACTATGTGTTAGAATTTATTTCAATTTTTTTTCCCTTTTTGTTCTCTTTTGTGTTATAACTCCTGCTGCCAAGCAGGCAAAATACTCAGATTTAGGAAAATGTGCTGATTGGTTTGTAAGTGTCAACTTTGCTTTGCCCATGTGCAATGCCTTGGGAAGTAACTGATTAATTTCGCTCTCCTGGTAGCTGYTTAAACTTCAGGGAGATTGTTAGAATAAGAATTTTAGATCCTAACAATTCCCTGTCTGATACCCATGAAAAACACAATAC